CCTTACACTGCGGCATAGCGGAAAAGTTAGAAAGACGAAGAATGATGCTCGAGGACGAAAGAAATGCACGAGAAATGACTATCACCTACTGCATGGACCTCTCCGCCACTATAACGGCGCCAGGAATATTGAGATCAGCTCTAACGCCATCAAAGATGTTGGCAAAAAAGTCTCCCCTTTCGAGAAAAGTCCCCGTTGTGGCGCCGATCATCCCGTGGGCATCCCGCAGTTCCCCCAACGAGACCGGGAAGCTCGACATATAGTCGTTTAGGTCACCAATTTCTCCAAGTGGAAACCCACGTTCGTGGAAGGCTCCGAGCCCTGCCCTTCAAAACCAACACCAACGGTTCCCCTTCAAGGACCCCTGGCCCTCGAGCCCGACCGGAGCCAGCCATTCCGGACTCAGCAGCCTCCGACCGAGACGCCTGCAAGTCTCTCACACTCGACCTCGTTCTACTCCTTAGCGGGCTTCCATCATCATCCTCCCCTTCGGTATCTGGATTCGACTCTAAGGTCAAAGTAGTAGTCCTAGAAGCCGCTCGATGCTTGAGTGACCTGGTTTTCTTTGCTGCAGGACAGACAACGACTGCCTTGCTTTTTCTCTTCTAGCTCGCATCAGACTCTAAGGCCCCTGCTTCACCATCAGGGGGTGGCCTCATTTGCATATTCTCGCCAAGACGTGCACCAGTGCAGTAACCGTAATACGCTTTCGCTAAGGGCTCAGAAAAGGAACACAAACTACTAACCATAGGCGGTAAAGGAACCCCACCATGATTCTTGGCCACCCAACGCTTCTTATCCAGGTCGGTCCAAGACCGAACGCGATACGGGAACTTCTCGCTCAACCGCCCGATCCATCCCGACAAATTCGGGACCACCCCCGGGTGCCAAGCAGTGGCTGCAAAAAGTACAAAGAGATTATTATGTCAAAAGGAAGAGTAGTTGGAAAGCGGCTAAGGGGAAAATTGCTTACATCGGGCATTCCACCTCTCCAGAAAGGGCATCCTCTGGGTCGGGATGACATTCGAGGTCCTTACTCGGATAAAGTTGCTCATCCATCCTCGATCCTTTCCCTCGTCGACGCTCATGAAAAAAGATTTTTTGGACTGATGGTAGAGCCTAATTAAGCCTCGATACAGTCGAGGGTTGTACATCCCAATTAGATGATTGAGGGTAAAAACCTCACCTTCAACCCGTTCGGTGAAATGACGAAGCATCAACACTATCCTCCAAAAAGAAGGGTAGATCTGACCAAGTGTCACTTGGTATCGGTCGCAGAAGTCGAGGATAACCGAGTAAGCAGCTGTTGGAGAGAAGGCACCAGTCAGACCTGCAAGCACCGGCCCTTCTTGAACGAATATATTTCTATGGAAAAATAGAACGTCTTGTAGAAGTCTTTGCTAAGGATTTTCAGGATACTTGTTCCGAAATGAAGGGGACTAAACAGGAACAAGAGGGATCCACTGAAGAAGATCCTTATCCTTCTCCTTCCCTTTTCTCGGAAGAAAGGTGGGATCCGGACAAAATCAATACTAGATTACCTAGTAGAAAAGATTGAAAAATCATCACAAACCTCCCTTATTTCTTTTCTATTGCACGATCTCCAGGAGAGGAGAGGAGATAGATTTATTAGGGCCTAGGGTGAATGGGTAGGTGTATACGTGAAGGAAGCCAGCCTTAAAGTCAGTTATATTATCGTTGGGACCGGAATCTCGACCTCCACTATCTCGCTCCATCGGCAGTCCTTCCTCGCCTTGTTAATATCAGTCACAATGCTAACGTATCGGGATACGTGCTCGCACCGGCCCGGCGTAGATGAAGTAGTATCGACATCAAAATCCTCTCACGTGTCGAGATCAGGTGGGGTACATTGTTCCAAAATAGGGGATCGCTCTGGTTTCTTCCTTTGGTGATCGAGACGACGATGCAGTATCATTCCATCGGGGAAACTTCCTAGAGGTCCTAGCCATGTCAATGGTAAAAATCCTTCTACAAAAAGATGAAAGAGTGACAAATAGAAAAATTCTGACTCGTGGCCTTGTAAGTGGGGTGAAAGTGGGAAGTGTCTATCAACCGACATTTATAGGAATTGCTGAGGAAGCAGAAAGGACGAGCCAATGGCAGTTCGTGGGTTTCTCGATTACCACATCTGATGGCGACCTTGCACTGTTTCTCTGGGGCATAGCATTTAATGCTCTTAGACGGTTGATGTGACGACAATGATGAACTCGAGACAACGGTTCAAAATCGTTTCCTATTACTTCATTCTAGGAAACTCGAAGACTATCTGTATGCGGTGAAATCAGGAGGGCGTGGAGCATAGTGATTCTCCTTCTGATGAGTGATTCAAGGGTCACATGAAAAGAAACTTAATAATTAAAATTATTGACCTTGAAGTTACTTTACAATTTATGATTTTATTACGAGTTCGGAACTCTGTTATGGGTTATGACTATCAAATGAAAATAATTGTTATGTTACATACAGAAGAAAGTCCATACCTAAATTATTTATGATTTAAGAATATATAAAACCACTTTTTACTTCTTTTGGTGTTTGAAAATAAAATGAGAGTAGTAGTAGTAGTACTAGTAGTAGTAGTAGTTGAATTTGGGTTTTGCTTGTTCTTTTGTACTTTCATTTTGCTAGACACTAAGTGAAGTAGATCATTACTTCAGTATGACAAGGATTATACTAGGAGATGATTAGATTTCCATCCTCATTAAGAAATTGTTTAATTAGTTCATCAAAGAATGGTGGAGTAGTATAGATGTTCAGAACCATTTTGACAAGGTCCGTGTAAATATGCATTTTCTATTTATATCTTGACCTAATTAAATTTTCTGCACCTCTGAGTTTCAAGTCTAGCAGGCATGTTTGGTGCATACATTGATTTGCTTCTCCAACCGTATTGAACAGTTAATCTATTACGTTAATGCAAATTTGTCATCCGCCCCTGCATCTTTCGGAAATAATGCAGGGCTATGTAAAATTGGTTCAAGGTGATGCAACCTTCCAATAAAAGCCCAAATGCTGTCACTACTAGAATACTGCAAATTTCCTATGGATATTTCCCACCAAAATATATCAATGGTAATTCCCACAAAAAAATTGACAAAATCGGTGGGAAAGTTGGGACACGAAAATTTTACAAAAATTTCAATAGTTTTTACATATTCTTGGTGGGAACTATTTAGCGCCTAAAACCGGGATTCTTTGTTCTCTCCTCTCATTCTCTTCTCTGTAAACTTAAACAGTAATTACGCCCAGCAAACTTGCAATTTCAGGAATCCCTTCACTCCGACGAGTAGGTAAGTTAATCTCTCTTTCTCTTTCTCTTTCTTTTACTTTTAAACCTGTGTCCCCTCAATCTATACCAAGCAAATTGGGTCTTGAGAGAGTAGAGAGTAGTACTATTTATCCGTAAGTTAAGGAAATAGGATAGCTTTTCACCAGTAATAACAGATACTGAATACATCAGTTGAGAATTTCAGTATGCTAAATTTGGATGTACACGAATCGAATGCTCTTACGAAGCTCCAGCCAAAGCTCCAGCTAAATTTGTGAATCCTGGTGTACCCATTTTAATTCTTTCCTATATGTTGGGAAGCGTGTCAAGAAAATAGAATGGAAAGAATACTTAGGAGAGAAGCAATAAATTGCATAAGACAAGACAAGACAAGATTTACGTGGTTCGGCAATTTTTGCCTACTGCACTGCCACACAAAGAATAGCTCTTTATTAACTGAAGAGAGAAAGAAGATGTTTTGGGATGTTTTTCAAATGAAGATGCAGACCCCTATTTATAGGCATTTGAATGCCCTGCTGAGGTAAGCGCTTATATCGTAAGAGTGCTGATGTAAGCGCTTACATCATAGGAATGTTGAGGTAAGCGCTTACATCACAAGAATCTCGATGTAAGCGCTTAAATCATATTTCATCTCTTTTTTGATTTTTCTTTCTTTTGTCTACTTTCATATACAACAATAGGTTTGTTCCTATCAATCTCCCTCTCAAACCTATGTTACATCAAGAAAGAAAAAAAAATGATTTGCTATTCTCTGGTGGCGCCTTCACGCTATCAGTCTTGAAGGCTAACTGAGGTAGCGCACAGCCTCAGTTTGTCAACACCGACAACTTTGGCGCAGGCCCGGCGTCTCCCTTTTATCCTTACTTTGACTGTTATCTCATTGTTCCCTAGATAAACAGATTATGATTTCTTTCAGACTTTGTATGTAGTACTCCTTAGATGTTCGTGAGTATGTGACTCCAGTCCCGGGGTAGAGATATATGTTGGAACTTCGGTATTTTGATCAATTATCTACATTTAAGTCTTCCGCTTATGATTATAATTCTGTCATCTTTATTTAATGTTGTTAATTGTTAAAAAGGAACAGGTGTTTAATAAAATGGTTAATTAAGTTGGTTTGCCTAGCTCCTATTAGTAGGCGCCATCACGACCCCACGAGGGTGGGAAATCCGGGTCGTGACAATTATTGAACATGATGAAGAGATTCACTAAACAAAGAAGCTTGGTGAAACCTGCAAAGACAAGATTTGCTACTGCTTTCTTAACTTTGCATAGGATGTATGAGCAAAAAAGCAATTTAAAGAAGTTGTTTGTTTCAGATGAGTACACTAGCAGTGCCTATGGAAGGGAAGCTCGAGGGAGAGAATCTGCAGATATTATACTTTCTCCTTCATTCTGGAACAATGTGGTTCATGCATTGAAGATTGGTGGTCCTTTAGTTAAAGTGCTTCGTTTGGTGGATGGGGAGCAAAGGCCACCAATGGGCTCCTTGTACGAAGCAATTGATAGGGCAAAGGAGGCTATTCAAGCCTCTTTTAATGATCAAAGAAAATACAAAAGAGTCTTTGAGATCATAGATAAAAGGTGGGATAGTAAGCTTCATAGCCCTTTGCATGCAGCTGGACTTGTTTTGAACCCGGAACTGTTTATGACAATGAAGAGAGGATTCTAGGAGATGAACCTTTGTGGAATGGATACTATGAATGCATTTGAGGAGTTGATACCTGAAGAATCCGTGCAAGATAAAATCACACAGCAATTTAGTATTTATAGGAATGTTGAACAACTTTTTGGAAAAAACATGGCCATTAGACAAAGAAAGACGAAGTCACCAGGTGAGTGAGTGCTTATATGTTGTTTTATAGTTAATAAGTTATTTCTTTATTAATATTATGTTTTGAAAATTTGTTCTACTTCTACAGTTGAATGGTGGAAGCAATATGGTCATTCCACTCCAGATTTACAAAAGTTTGCCATCAAGGTTCTAAGTCTAACATGTAGCTCATCCGGGTGTGAAAGGAATTGGAGCGTGTTTGAGCACGTAAGAACTAATAAGAAAGATTTAGTATATTGAGATAATTAAATTATATCTCAATTGTCCTAATTACTAATTACTTATTATTTGCAGATTCATACCAAAAAGAGGAACAAACTAACCTTGAAGCGTCTCAATGATCTAGTCTTCATTAAGTACAATAGAACATTGAGGCGTCGTTACAACGCTCGCAATGTAATTGATCCAATTAGTTTGGACAACATCGATGATGCTAATGAATGGCTAACTGGAGTCCCGGAAGATCATGCAGATGAAGAAGTATTTGAGGACACTTCTGATATCACTTGGGGTGATGTTGCGGAGGCGCATGGAATTGGGGAGAGAATTTATGATTTGAGGGGGAGTACCTCAACTTCAAGTTCACAGAGTAAGGGAAAACAGACAGCTACTTTGTCCCTAATTGATGAAGAAGATGACGAGCAATATAATAATGATAGTGGAATACAAGAATTTGACAATCTTGTAGAAGAATAGGATGCTCATTTTATGCTTTAATTGATGCTACTCTTGACAATCTTGTAGAAGAATAGGATGCTCATTTTGTGCTTTAATTGATGCTACTCTTTAGTTTTTAATTCAAGTATTGGACATTTGCTTACAATTACAAGTGTTGTCTATGCCGTATTTATTTTAACCTTTTTTAAAAAAAAAATCCGCTTCACTTCAAAAAAGTGGGCGCCTCGCTTCTCGCTTTTCGTAAAATGAGGTTTATCGCTTTTCCTCGCTTCACGCTATTTTTAACACTGGAAATACTATATGAAACAGGTAAATTACCTATCATCAAATGAGATGAAAGGCTTTTCATCTTCCTTAGACAAATACCATTCAATTAAAGTTGGAAACACTAATAAAGCTTGATCCTTTTCTTTTTCTTTTTTTTTTTCTTCCCTGGAAAAAATTCTCGACTCCCTGAAAATTCCTGTAAATAATATTTTTTTATTCTTTTCTAAACATAAAAAATAAAAATAAACATAATTTATGTGCGATTTTAAATACTTAAATCTCATTAAAAATAAATAGTAACGATTTCTAATTTAAACACAAAAGTTATCGGAATTACTTTACATGAACGTAAGAAAGACAAAAGAGCCAACTAAATGAACATGGTGGCCTATAAAATCAGTGACCTGGGGTCTAGCAGTCTTGCATAAAGTTGCTTACTTATAAAAACTTGAAACTCCATATCCAAAAAGAAGAAATATCACTGCTATTAAATTGGCTAATATCAATGGATAATTCAGCCAGTTGTGATGATGAAAGAGCAAGACTCTCCTCTTCAGACAGCCGCAAAAATGGTGGCTGGATAACCTTCCCCTTTATGATTGGTCTGTTTCTTGACACTTTACTGTTAGTTGTTAGATGCATTTTGGTCCTGTGTTATACCCATAATTAGCAACAGGATTTTTTATTTAACTAACTATAGTGCTTCAAACAGACGATAGGGCTTGCTTTGAATATCTTAAATACTGGAAATTGAAAATTAGAATAGAAAGAGTGAAAGCTAGAAATTTCAAACTACACAAAGATGGGATACTAATTTTTGTATTTTAACAATTTTGAATGTGTTAATTCCCAAAATTAAGCAGGAACAATGGCTTAGCAGCAGGAGGATGGGTTAGCAACCTGATTGTTTATCTGATACAAGAATTCAACATGAAGAGCATCCCCGCTGCTAATGTATATAATGTGGCGAATGGCTGCATCACCATTTTCCCCATCATTGCTGACTCCTTTCTTGGTTGTTTTTCTGTCATTTGGATTTCTTCCCTTATCTCAAATTCCTTTTTATAAGATTCCATCTTCTTGCCTTCCAAATCTTATTAAACCTATACACACACACACAAAAAAAAGTCCAAATTTCTTTGCAATTGCAGGGTATGTTGCTTCTAGTATTCACAGCAGCCACTGACAAATTAAGATAAAAAACCATCAACTCAATATGCTGTCTTATATATTGCTCTTGCACTAGCATCTCTGATCTAGGGGCCGCAGGTACACGTTTTACTATTGGATCCATTGGAGCATATCAGTTTGACAAGCCAAAACACCAAGGAATTTTCTTTAACTGGTACACATTCACCTTATACACATCCATTGTTGTAAGCTCCACAGCCATTGTCTACATTGAGGACAATATTAGTTGGACCTGGGGTTTTGCCATCTCTTTAGGTCTTAACATCCTCGCCTTAGCCATTTTTCTATCTGGGATACGTTCGTATCGCCATGTTAAGGAACAAGAAGGCAGCCCTTTTATCAATATGGCTCGTGTTGTTGTCGCAGCCATTCAGAAATGGAAAATCCCCCTGTTTTAGCAAAGTCACCATTACTATCATGATCCAAGTGAAAAACACAAAAATATAGCTTCCCCTACTCCTACCTTCAAGTAAAACCTCTATATTAACTCTTTCTTGTGTTTGAGCTACTACTCATGCTCAAGGGCGGATCTAGGACAGGTTATGTGGATTCAACTGAACTTATTACTTTTGGTTCGAACATATAATAAGATCACAATCATCCCGAATCAACTGACTCTGGCTCTTAGATTCGCCTCTGCTCATACTAGTTTGCTAATGAAGCTCTCTTATATAGGTTCCTCAACCGAGCGGCCTTCATCACTGTGGGAGACATTAAATCAGATGGCTCCATTGAGAATACCTGGAGACTCTGTACAATCCAACAAGTAGAAGATTTGAAAAGCTTGCTCCTTTGTGGGGTAGCGGATTATCTTTATCCACTCCTCTGATCATTCAGTCAAGCCTGCTAGTAGTCCAGGCTCTAAAGATGGATCGTCAGGTGGGACACCATTTCAAAATCCCAGCAGGTTCTATGTCAGTCTTTGTGTTTATATGGTCTGCTATATCAATACGCTTCATTGACAGATTACTCTACCCTTTTCTAGCTAAATGCTCCCAATTTTCCCTTACACCTCTTCGGCGCATTGAGACCATCTCTGCCTTGGTGGAGTCACGGTGGCTGAGGCTCGTGAGATCCCACCATCTCCAAGGCCAAAATGGTGCCATTGTTCCAATGTCAGTCCTCTAGCTAGTGCCACAGCTTGCTTTTAATTGTATTGGAGAAGGATTCCATATTCCGGGACATCTCGGGTTTTATTACCAAGAGTTTCACGGATTGGATAAGCTCTGCGGCAGATTTCCATGCTTAGCTTATTGTCTTCAAATAACAAAGGAATCTTTTAATTAAAAAAAAAGGGAATCTTTTAAAGTCTGTGTACAAAGAATTAAATATAAAGGGTGTAAATCGTGTATTTGGAGAAATGTATCAGTTAGCAACTTTTCTTGCTAAGCAGTGTTAAGCTAAATCGGAAACATGTTAGTGGTGAATGAAAGAATTTGGATGAGACCAAGTTTAGCCAAACAGGAATCAGGACTCCGGAGGCATATTGTGGTTGGACTTTGTACAGTCAAAAGGTTCAAAATATAGTCATTCAGTGTAATTTTGAATCTACTTCATTAATCCTATATAAAAAAAAGAAATCTATTTATGGTGGAGAGATTATTTTAAAGAAGAATAGGAGAAGGAGAATAAAAATGCAATAGAAATAAAATAAATAAAAAGAAAGGGATGGTAGAAACAAAAAAGGAAAAGAAAAAATAAAAATTTTGAAGGATAAATTTGAAAAATATAAATTTATAGTAAGGATACTTTTGTCTTAAAAATTTAATTTTCTACTTGTGCTTCTGCTTTTTAAAAGAAGTTAATTTGTATCTTCTTCCCAAAAGCAGAAAAAATGCTACTGTTGCTGCTCAAAAGCACTTCTCCATCTTGGCCAAACACATCAAATCTCTAACAAAAAAAAAACGTTTGGCCTCCCAAATGCTTGGCCAAACAAGCTCTTATACTCCTAGTAATCAAAATATAAACATAGTTGGGAAAGTCCTACTAAAAGCTACCATCTTTTACCAGTGGAACTTCAAGCGATAAATAGGAATTGTACCAACAACCTCACAAAGGTTTTGAACCCCATTAACCACTGAGCTATACTTTAGGGTCGCGTCAAGGAGATTTAAAATAAAATATATAGATGCACAAAACGTATTTTGACTTATATGTACAGTGTAATTTTCTGGCAAAGGGGAACCCTTTCCGCCCCCTAAATCCGCCTCTAACGATGGTTTCTAGTATACATATACCTTCCGAAATCTCTACTCTTGGAACATCCAGAAATAATTAATTTGGTTTTAACAGTTTTACAAGATTAAAAAGAATATATACCGCCTAAATAATATTGTTAAAGTTGCAATCAGGATCACAAGTAAAACAAGATATTCCTGATGTCCTCCCAGCGTCCGGCTTTTTTAAAATTAAATCTTTAACACTAATGACAAACCCCAGCATTTTTATTTGTTCGGGAACAATTTGAACAACATTATAGCACATAAAACCCATTTATTTTTCTAATATTTTTTTTCATGTCAGCTTTGCCAATCATTTTAAAGGCCGAAATAGTGTAGTTCTTTTTTTCTTTTTTCCTTTTTTTGGTACTGGCATTTACTGTCAAAAGATGTGTTGAATTGTATAGAAATCTCTACAAATTAAGACGTTATATCAAAATTGCAAGGAAAAAACAGTGTTAGCATAATAACATTATTGTTCATAATAACATTACTTTATCACTTACAAGAAATATACTGAACAAACGATTATACAATCTATCACTTAGAATTAAGATGCATTCTACTATAGTCATCAAAAAACTTTCTAACAAAAACTTAAAGTAATAACATTATTGTTCATAATAACATTACTTTATCACTTACAAGAAATATACTGAACAAACGATTATACAATTAGAATTAAGATGCATTCTACTATAGTCATCAAAAAACTTTCTAACAAAAACTTAAAGTGATTAAACTTTTTCCATAAAGTACCAAAAGGCATTTCCGTGGGACAGTATGGTGCAATAAGCTCCTAGTATGCGTGAGTTCAGGGAATGGCCAAAGCACATAGGGTTTATCGTAAAATGATTCTCAGCACCATTATCAATTACAAGGTTAAGATTAACTGTTCTCACCCTAATTTGTAGCATATCCCAGTGAAATATGTTTATCTATAATGAGACAGAATAAAGTTGAATGCATTCGCATTCTAGCTAGTAGAATACATGTTAGATATGGCATAGGCAACCTCAAACAAGAAAACAAGAATCTGACATACCGGAGACCATGGGGTGAATTTTGTAAAGCACCACCTTTCCAGGTTAAGATATCCTGTAAAATCAGAGTACAAGAGTCGATTACATAACCTGCAGATATTTGATCACCACTGAACGAAGCTCAATCATTTTTCCGATAGATATTCAGCGCAGTGGAGCTTGACACTCAAGACAAGTTTGTCTCACTGCCTAACCTAAGGTTCAGAACTAATCTTTAACTAGGTAGCTTTTAGGGAGGTCAAGCTAGCTGACTGCTCTGGACCTATTACTGGATGATTTAGGCTTTCATTTTATGAATACAGATAGAGGATATGATGAACAGCTAATATCTTGTCAGTTGTTCTTTAACAGCACCAGCTAAAAGTGAAGGTTCTGGATAAATGTGTGGAAACAAACTGCTCAGGAAAGTGAAGATTATGTCCTGGAACTAATAAAAATATGCTTCAAACATTTTGGCTTCTTTTAGACACATCACAGCATACATACAGTTCATTTTCCAGAAAGAAATTACCTCCCCAGCAGCTTCCACTGCTGCCAACCATTCATCAGAAAATGGAACTGCATTCCGTGGGGGTATAATCAAAAGATTGCCTTCCTTCAGACACTTCTCCGTATTCTTGCTGCCAACAATAAATAGCAATTCTCTAAAAGATTGTAATTTGTGGAAGTCCAAGTCTAGAAAAACCAAAGGAGTTCTTTGGGGTTAGAAAAATCTTTGAAATACTTACACTGGCAAATTGGTGTTATGATTTCTGCACTGCTCGGTACTTTGCAGTCCATGGAGAAGTTCATTGTGAGAATTCTCACTTTAGGCTTTCCAGTTTCAAATTCCTTCACCACAATATCTTGATTCAATGTGTCAACTACTCCTACCTTTCTTTTGATTCTTGATGAGGTCTGATCCCCTTCAACAAGTTCTATGCAATCAATTGTCACACTTGCTGTATGGATTTTACTTGTCGATGAATTAAGTTCCAAAGATAGTACAAAATGCATTAATGACAAAGATACAGAGATGGAACAGCCAGATAACACCCTGATTCGTGTTTAGAGTAATCCACTAGGCTCTGTCAGTCTTCGCCATGTGCCTTGAGAACTCCTCATTTCTATCATATCCGTGATCAACATTGTCCTAAGGCCAGGTGTCGACGAGCCTCGAGGGAGGAAACTCGACCATGGTCTTGTAGCATCGAGACAATGTTCAGAGGTGCCTCGATGACGAGGAATTGGATCCTCTGATTTCGCCGTATACACTAATATTATTTAATGAAATATAGGTGGTATATAAATATTTGACCAGACCTATAAAATACCGACCCATCTGGATCAACCCAATCCCAAATCCTTCTTCTCCAAAGACAAGCAAGCAAATTGAATGTATAAGTAAAATTAGTATAATATAAAATAATCAATCTACCTAAACAAACCATAGAAACTCAATATACATATTTTCCCATCTCTCACGATCTTCTTCTCCACTTTTTATCAAAACAATGGGAGACAACTTTGTCCCACACATTGAGTCTAATTCAGGTTTAAATTAATTAAATTTGCTTTTGCTTTCTTCTGAGTTTCGTGTCTTGTTCTAAGAAGTTTGAGGAAGGCATAAAGAGTTCGAAAGCTGACTGTGATTACGCGTCTGAAGCCCTTTGTGTTTGATGCTTCCGTATAAAGGTATTTTATTTCTTAATGACCATAACTTTGTGATTGATGCATGTACTTTATGCATATTGAGCTGTTGAATGTGTCTGTTGTTGCATGTCTTGCCGCCTGCGAGGTATTTGATTTTTTGCTCAGTAGAGTGATGCTTTTACTATGTTAAGTTTCACTCTTTTATCTTCAGTTTTTATGCGTATTCTTTGCGTTCTTCTTGCACAGAATTTCTCTACCTTTCCTATGTGTCAAAATGTAAAGCCTTTTACTATTATAAACGAGAAATTCAAACCCGGATGACAAAGGATCTGCATAGTAATTGTGTGGCTATTATATAGCTGAAATATTGCTTACTATTTTGGAGTTGAAGTATTCTGCAAGTTGATATTTAAGTTAGTGCATATGACAGGGAATGAAGAAGATATTTGCTTTATTTGACTTTGGGTCCGTGGATAAACATGTTTTGATAATGGTTCCAAATCCAGATTCTGCATGATAATCTTCTAGGTGAATATCACTTTGCTGCGATATTTCAAATGGGCGTACAAGTATCAGTTAGAAAACAACCAAAATCTTCTTTTCTCTTACTTGGGAATTTGAATGGCATAACTGGAAACTATGAAATCATCTGGTAAAAAAAGGGCGACAGATTCTAGTAAAGAAAAAAGTCATAATCCATAAAATGGTTGGAGACTTTCTCCAACATTTTATTTTACCATAACTTTTTAACATGACTATACTTGTGCTGGTCAGCTACATGCGACATGAATGGTAGGTATTCTGTCTAAACCTTATTTTGGGTGGTTCAGTGCTCCAAGTAAGCGTATTATCCTCCTACACTTAGATCCCCATAGTGTATTCTCTCTTTTATGGATTGTTTCCATATTTAACATAAATGAACACACCTTGAAACCCCTCAAAATTGGGTGAAAATGATTGGTAGCCATAAAAATCTCAGCAGTGCTCTCACTCTCGTGTGGCTCCCTTTTCCCATATTTTTTAATATACTCCTCGAAAAGCTCCATTTGGGCTTATGGAGGGATGAGTTCTTCTTTAGTTGCTATCATTTCTGAATTGAGTGTGCATTGTGTTTGCTTTCTTTCTCTAGGCCATGTTGTGCTTGATGGATTCTTTAATTGGATTATTACGGTTGTTTTACCACTTTGCTACTGCCAATTGTTGTATGACAAAGTGCTTTCACAGCATGACATTGGAACAACCATTTCATACATTTAAGTTTAAGTAGGTTGGACATAATAAGACACAACATTTCATGAATTCTATAATGTTGTAGGAAAGACTTTATAAGCGTGGTTGCAAAATGCAATTTACTTTACACTTTGAAAATTCTCTAATTGGTGTCTATTTTTCTATGAGCATATGTTGTATGGTTATGTAACTGATTGGTTGCATTCTTTGGTGCAATGTTAGTTGTGTAAACAGGAATATCGTGAATTTAGAATATTTTTTTGTTGTCAACGTGAATAATGGGGCCGAGGTGGAAAGGAAAAGGGGCCGAAGTTAAAGCTCTTGCAGATCCCATTTTAGAAATAGTAATCCAGCTTCAATCTTATCTGATCTGCTCAAACTCTCGAGGACTACTTTCTGATACGAATGTGCTTCTTAAAGCAGACACAGAACAAACTGAGCTCCTCAATCCTGCATGTTTTGGTAGGCCCAGGGTAATGGCAAAAGAGAATGAGCAATGATTTCAGCTCTGCATGGAAGAAGCTGTTGTTGACAACAATGATGAGGTATGGAGGCATATGACATCCAGGACGGAAGATTTTCCTATCTTATTCAAAGCTTTTTCTCACCTTAAAAGTAAGAACTGGGTGGTTAGATCGGGCTCTCAGTACGGGGTAGACTTTGTTGCCTATCGTCATCATCCTGCTCTAGTACATTCTGAATATGTTGTGCTTGCTTTATCTTCACAAAATGGTAGTGCAAATGGTCGCTTGAGGGTTTGGTCTGACTTCCATTGCACTCTTTGACTTTGTGGTAGTGAGGCGAAAACGTTACTAATTCTTGATATTGAGCAACAACAAAGTTGTGCAACTTCTCCGTCGTGCTTAGATAACTATGTTGTTGAAGAGAGAACAATCACAAGATGGAGTCCGGAGCAAGGCCGCGAAACAAAACCTATGTTTGACCCAAGTAAAAAGTAGATCGTCTGGTTCAAGATTAACTCCTACTTCACATGTTGTACTAGTTTAGCAATTGTAATGTGATTTAGAAGCATTACGATTAATACTATGTATTACTATTAATACTCTGCATACTGTATTTTTTCCTACAACTTTGTTGCAATCATTTTGGCCGACTTTTATGCCCAGCAAAATGGTAAACTATGCCTTCTTATTTCACCCTCGATGCTCTTTTAAGTCAAAGTCAAGCTTACATGAATGTTTTTATCTCTTATAGCAAGTTGCTACATCCAGAAAGAACTAACCTGCCTCCAAAACCAATTCAAAGAGAAACCCAGGCATAAAAGAAATTAATTATATAAAAAAAGAACAGAACAACTCATACGAGATTTACAGCCAATTCTCTTTGAGGGAGAAAGGGAGCATATGAAAGTATGAATAAAGCATGTTGTTCTAATAAGATAGAAATGCCAAACATAGGTAATAAGATAGACTTGCCAGAACACCAGCTTTACAAGAATTGCAGTTATAGTAGAGCTGCTGTTGATCATTGTTCCATCTAACACAACCCGGATCACCTCGTACCAGCCCTCCTCCAGAACTCCTCACTATCTCATTCATGCAAGTATAGCCACATTCTGTAGGGGGCTTGCAGCAACCAGACTACATAAAAAGTTCCAAGACTTTATCAGAGAAGTTGTCTTTACCATTGTACTATATACCGACTAATGTTAAAGCAAGAGTAGTTTTGCCTATGAATGCTCCTTAATCAATATTTTAGGCAACAGTTTGGAGATTTAAAAAAGGAATAGTCCAACCCATTCAGTAGTCAGAGGATTCACCAAGTTAGACTAGTTTTACATCCGTAGTCAACCTACAACAACGCTCTTCTTTCTATCCAGGTTTAGGACTAGCTACATTTGCAAAGATCACACAAACGAAGTTAATGTGTTAGATATTTAAACACATAGCCTCTCTTGCTCTTCAAGCTGTAGGGCAAGTGCACAGATATCCATTCTCAGGGATGCTATTTAGAAATTAACCATTACTTATTTTGTCCTCTAATTTTAAACTAAAAATCTTAATATTTTTATCCCACAAAATAGAACTAGAAAACTGAAAATTCAAAATGCACTGGCTAATTTCTTAATAGGAGCACTTTAGAGTGGCTACCTGGTGTCATTTCTACTTAAGCTGCATATGTGTGATGTCGACAACTGGGCCCTAATAATTGGAGCTTGATGGGAGCTTGATGGAATAGATGGAAGCCTAACTCCCAGCAAGCTCCAATTATTAGGGCCCCATTTGTCGACATCACATATATGCAGCCTGAGTAGAAATGACACCAGGTAGCCACTCTAAAGTGCTGCTATTAAGACAACTTCTCTGACAAAGTTTTGGAACTTTTTATGTAATCTGGTTGCTGCAAGCCCCCTACAGAATGTGGCTATACTTACATGAATGAGACAGTGTGGAGTTTCGGAGGAGGGCTGGTACGAGGAGATCCAGATTGTGTTAGATGGAACAATGATCAACAACAGCTCTACTATAACTGCAATTCTTGTAAAGCTGGTGTTCTGGCAAGTTTGAAAAAGAGATGGAGGAAAGTATCTGTCATCAACATTGTCATATTGATCATTCTAGTCATCATGTATATTGTTGCCATAGCAGCCTTTAAACACAACAAGTAGATCGATAACGATGAGCCTTTTGGAGAAACCAGGATGGAGAAATCTCAACCTAGCAGGATACACTTCTAAGAGCTTCCCCATGACAATACAGTAAACCTTGAAATGTGTTCCCTATGTTTGGCATTTCTATCTTATTAGAGCAACATGCTTTCTTCATACTTTCATATGCTCCCTTTCTCCCCCAAAGGGAATTGGCTGTAAATCTCGTATGAGTTGTTCTATTCTTTTTTTTTATATATATAATTAATTCCTTTTATGCCTGGGTTTCTCTTTGAATTGGTTTTGGAGGCAGGTTAGTTCAATCCGGATGTAGCAACTTGCTATAAGAGAAAAACATTCATGTAAGCTTGACTTTTACTTAAAAGAGCATCGATGGTGAAATAAGAAGGCATAGTTTACCATTTTGCTGGGCATAAAAGTCGGCCAAAATGCCTGCAACAAAGTTGTAGGAATAAATACAGTATGCAAAGTATTAATAGTAATACATAGTATTAATCGTAATGCTTCTAAATCACATTACAATTGCTAAACTAGTACAACATGTGAAGTAGGAGTTAATCTTGAACCAGACGATCTACTTTTTACTTGGGTCAAACATAGGTTTTGTTTTGCGGCCTTGCTCCGAACTCCATCTTGTGATTGTTCTCTCTTCAACAACATAGTTATCTAAGCACGACGGATTAGTTGCACAACTTTGTTGTTGCTCAATGTCAAGAATTAGTAACGTTTTCGCCACACTACCACAAAGTCGAAGAGTGCAATGGAAGTCAGACCAAACCCTCAAGCGACCATTTGCACTACCACTTTGTGAAGATAAAGCAAGCACAGCATATTCAGAATGTACTAGAGCAGGATGATGACGATAAGCAACAAAGTCTACCCCGTACTGGGAGCCCGATCTAACCACCCAGTTCTTACTTCTAAGGTGAGAAAAAGCTTTGAATAAGATAGGAAAATTTTCCCTCCTGGATGTCATATGCCTCCATACCTCATCACTGTTCAGTTCAGTGTCATTGTGGTCAACAACCTTAATGCATTTTAGAGAATACTGAAGGTAAAAAGCTTCTTCCATGCAGAGCTGAAACCATTGCTCATTCTTTTCTGTCGTTACCCTGGGCCTACCAAAACATGCACGATTGAGGAGCTCAGTTTGTTCTGTGTCTGCTTTAAGAAGCACATTCGTATCAGAAAGCAGTCCTCGAGAGTTTGAGCAGATCAGAGAAGATTGAAGCTGGATTACTATTTCTGAAATGGGATCTGCAAGAGCTTTAACTTCGGCCCCTTTTCCTTTCCACCTCGGCCCCATTATTCACGCTGACAACAAAAAAAAAGTCTAAATTCACGATATTCCTATTTATACTTGTTTACACAACTTACATTGGACCAAAGAATGCAATCAATCAGTTACATAGCCATACAACACATGCTCATAGAAAAATAGACACCAATTAGAGAATTTTCAAAGTGTAAAGTAAATTGCATTTTGCGACTACGCTTATAAAGTCCTTTCCTACAACATTATAGAATTCATGAAATGCTGTGTCTTATTATGTCGAACCTACTTAAACTTAAATCTATAAAATGGTTGTTCCAATGTCATGCTGTGAAAGCACTTTGTCATACAACAATTGGCAGTAGCAAAGTGGTAAAACAACCGTAATAATCCAATTAAAGAATCCATCAAGCACAACATGGCCTAGAGAAAGAAAGCAAACACAATGCACACTCAATTCAGAAAAATGATAGCAGCTAAAGAAGAACCCATCCCTCCATAAGCCCAAATGGAGCTTTTCAAGGAGTATATTAAAAAATATGGGAAAAGGGAGCCACCCGAGAGTGAGAGCATTGCAGAGAAACTGCTGAGATTTTTATGGCTACCAATCATTTTGACCCAATTTTAAGGGGTTTCAAGGTCTGTTCATTTATGTTAAATATGAAAACAATCCATAAAAGAGAGAATACATTATGGGGATCTAATACACTGAGGAGATCTAAGTGTAGGAGGATAATACGCTTACTTGGAGCACTAAACCACCCAAAATAAGGTTTAGACAGATACCTACCATTCATGTCGCATGTAGCTGACCAGCACAGGTATAGTCATGTTAAGAAGTTATGGTAAAATAAAATGTTGAGAAAGTCTCCAACCATTCTATGGATTATGACTTTTTTCTTTTTACGAGAATTTGTCGCCCTTTTTTTACCGGATGATTTCATAGTTTCAAGTTTCCAGTTAAGCCATTCAAATTCTCAAGTAAGAAAAAAGAAGATTCTGGTTATTTTCTAACTGATACTTGTACGCCCATTTGAAATATCGCAGCAAAGTAATATTCACCTAGAAGATTATCATGCAGAATCCGAATTTGGAACCATTATCAAAACATGTTTATCCACGGATCCAAAGTCAAATAAAGCAAATATCTTCTTCTTCATTCCCTCATTCCCTATCATATGCACTAACTTAAATTTTAACTTGCAGAATTCTTCAACTCCAAAATACTGAGCAATATTTCAGCTATATAATAGCCACACAATCATGTACTATGTAGATCCTTTGGCATCCGGATTTGAATTTCTCGTTTATAATAGTAAAAGGCTTGACATTTTGACACATAGGAAAGGTAGAGAAATTTTGCGCAAGAAGAACGCAAAGATTACGCAAAAAAAAACTAGAGATAAAAGAGTGAAACTGAACATAGTAAAAGTATCACTCTACTGAGCAAAAAATCAAACACCTCGCAGGCGGCAAGACATGCAACAACAGACACATTCAACAGCTCAATATGCACAAAGTACATACATCAATCACAAAGTTATTGTCATTAAAAAATAAAATACCTTTATACGGAAGCATCAAACAAAAGGGGCTTCGGACACATAATCACAGTCAGCTTTCGAACTCTTTATGCCTTCCTCAAACTTCTCAGAACCAGACACGAAACTCAGAATAAAAAGAAAGCAAAAGCAAATTTAATTAATTTAAACCTAAATCAGACTCAATGTGTGGAACAAAGTTGTCTCCCATTGTTTTGATAAAAAGTGGAGAAGAAGATCGTGAGAGATGGGAAAATATGTATATTGAGTTTCTATGGTTTGTTTAGGTAGATTGATTATTTTATATTATACTAATTTTACTTATACATTCAATATGCTTGCTTGTCTTTGGAGAAGAAGGATTTGGGATTGGGTTGATCCAGATGGGTCGGTTATTTTATAGGTCTGGTCAAATATTTATATACCACCTATATTTCATTAAATAATATTAGTGTATACGGCAAAATCAGAGGATCCAATTCCTCGTCATCGAGGCACCTCTGAACATCGTCTCGATGCTACAAGACCATGGTCGAGTTTCCTCCCTCGAGGTTCGTCGACACCTGGCCTTAGGACAATGTTGATCACGGATATGATAGAAATGTAGAGTTCTCAAGGCACATGGCTAAGACTGACAGAGCCTAGTGGATTACTCTGAACACGAATCAGGGTGTTATCTGGCTGTCCCATCTCCGTATCTTTGTCATTAATGCATTTTGTACTATGTTGGGATTCCCCTCCTACATAAAGGGGATCCTTGTCATTTTGTAAGGTTCTGTTGCTTCACCTGCTCCACGCAAAATATACAAGAACATTCTCTCTGCTCTCTAATATACTCTTTTGATATTATTGTTCATCATTTATTGCTTATCATTGGTCATAAAGAGCCTTCATTAATTTTATCATTACTGTTAGCATTAATGACAAAGATACCCTCACATTCAGCGAAGAGGACACCGAGACCTTGTCTCAACCTCACAATGGCACACTGGTAATCTCTTTCTTCGTGAATACATTTCAAATAAAGCGTGTACTCGTGGACCCAGGTAGCTCGGCCAACATTATCAGATCGAGGGTAATAGAGCAGCTCGAACTACTAGACCAAATTGTGCCTGTCACAGCTCCTTTTTCTACCCCGGAAGGGTATAAGGGAGTTTTTTCCAATTTAAGTGACAATCGAAACGGGATTATTTAAATTAAAATCAGAGTCGCCACTTGGGACAATTTATGGTGTCCCAAGTCGCCGGTTCAAATCCCGAATCGAGGAAAGATTGACTCTGTTTTACAATCCGCGAACACAGAAATCCCGGTAAGGAATTCTGTTAACCTGGGAGAAGGTGTTAGGCATTCCCGGGTTCCGTGGTTCTAGCACGGTCGCTCAACTATTAACATTGGCCCAATTATCTGATTTAATTACACATTTTAAACCTACGTGCCCTTTTAACTTTCTGACCGCTCTTAATATTTTAGAAAAGTTCAAGGTTATTTAAAACACATTGCAAGCCACGCTATATGAAATGTACCCACGATTTACGACACGTTCTATTTAACCTCGTTGGAAATTAGAATCGGGTCACATGAAATGTACACCCGGATTTTGATATGTTTGTTTTGAACATACTGCAAATCGCGTCACATGAAATGCACCCGCGGTTTACAACATGTTCGTCATTAATACTAGTAATACTTTTCCAAACACTCCTTAAATAGCTTTAATTTCAGAAGAAGTCGATTCTGGTACTACAACTTTTCTATATGTATGTAATAAATATAATTTTAACATATTAATGAGTAAACATAGAAAATTCACGCCGAGAATTACATACAAAGCAGATAGCATGAGGCTGAAGCAAAATTCTATATGCTAAGAGAAGTAGATAAGATTAAATTACCAAATATAATTCTACACAACAAGAAATTACCAAATGTTTCTGTCTGGGTTGAAACTGGAACTTGACTCACCCATAAGTTCTATCCCATTTCAGTCACTTACTACTAAATAACTAAATACACAAATTTAAGTTTTATCCACAAAGATATAAAAAAAGTATCTCGACTCTTACATGCTGTCCATTATCTATTTTTCAAATGATTAACCTTATATATGATTAGTACAACACATACTTGAAGGTTGGTAACTCTAGGTTCTAATGATGTTTCAGAAAAGCTAAAATCCAAAATATAGGAGAAAACCAATGACTTGAACCCAGAATTATTCAATGGCAGCGCAAGAGAAGAAGGCAGTAAAATCAACCTTTAACAGAGGGAACCGTTTCAGCCTTCATGAAGCTAAATAAAATTCATACATTCACAAATAATATCTTAACAGAGAGATAGTGGGAGATACGGACCTTTACAACACTGTTTTGAAGCTTGAATAACGGACAAAGACGCGGACGGAACCTCGAAACGATACCGAAAAACTCGACACCCAAGCTCGGAGCTAACGTTCACTCAATTTTTGACTGAAACTCGCTGCCTCCCTTCTACTCTCGTTCTCTCTGTTTCTCGTTTCTGTGCGTGTGTGTCGAGGGAGATGGATGCAGGTGGTGTATGCGAGTTCCCGGCGATGGGGTGAGTCATGAGGTCCGGTGGCTGTTGTTGTTGAAGTAGGCGAGTCGATGGGGTGGGGGTCGTTTGTGTTCCGGCTGCTGGGGTGGTGTGGAGGAGATGAGGTTTCAAGGGGGTGGGGGTCGTTTTGCGTTGTGCAGCAGCTTCAGGATCTTCTCGCTTGGTCCATACGTTTTTTGTTCTTTTTTTTTAAGAAGAAGCGGCCTATCTTTTCTAGGTCTTTTTTTGTTCTGGTTTTTTGCGCTAAGTCCCTAGTATATTGTTTTTTGTCTCTTTAGCTGCTTAGGCGTTAGCTTCTTTATAAAAACGGCTGATACTATTTTCAAGACTCGGTTTTTAGAGTTTTAAGGGTATTAGGGTTAGTTTAATGGGTATTGGGCTTGAGTTGTTATGAGTTAGGTCTAAAAACTAGGCCTAAAAATAGGTTGTTCGATCCCAAATTTTTATTCTTTTCTCGCAAACGGGACTAAAAATACTATCTCATTTATTAATTAATCCTACTTAAGCAAAATAATTATTAAAAATAAGACTGATCGTTAAAACAAAACTATTTTTGGTATTTTTCAAGGCTAAAAGTGATTATAAAACATTAATGAAATTATTGTTTTGTAATTTTCATTTTCTTGTAATAAAATAAAGTAAAAGAGTCAAAATTAGTTGAAATGGCGATATTAGGCCTAAATTAAATATTTTCCGCTAAAATATGAAAAACCTTGGGGATGGTCAAAAATCACATGTTTATAGTGCCCGCCACTCGAGTCCTCAACGGATTCAACATGGCAAGTGAAACAACGAAAAGAGAAATCACCCTCTCAGTCAGCGTGGCCGATATGACCCAAAATGTAAAATTTCATGTCATCGAAGGAGATATGAGGTACAACACCTTGTTCGGACGGCCGTGGATATACTGCAGGAGAGCAGTACCATCCACCCTCCACCAAATGATGAAATTCCCGACAAAGGATGAGATTAAAACCGTATACGAGGAACAGCATGCGGCGAGGGGAATGTTCGCAATGCACGATGTGGCACCGGCACCAATACCTCCACTCACAAAAGAGCCAAAGGGTAATCAAACTACATCTTCGGTTAAGCCCAATTAAACATAGCAGAGGACCGTACTGCGTCCTCATTACAAACGATAGGGACATATCGGACCTCGAAACATCATCGTCACATCCCACGCTAAGGTATAACCATCTCCCTTTTCATTTCATATTTCGTACTAACCCTTATGCAGGCGCTCGATCAAAGCAGTCAGAGCGCTAACCCAGCCCGAAGACCTTAAGGTTTTAAAGCATCCGTTGCACTCTTTTCCTTCGACGGAGTTTTTATCCCGAAAAGGGTTTTACCGGCAAGGTTTTTAACGAGGCAACATCCACATGCTACCTGAGAAATACTCAACAACTATTCAAGGTTTCTTTTGCAATCAACCCCGAACACTGGAGGGTATCCCCCCTCCTGTAAGGTCATCCACTCGGAAGAACTAAGAAACGCCAAATAGGGTCCCAATAGGAAAACGATGTATCGGGCCAAACGGCCGAACGAACCGTGTCCGCATAGCCGGGCCCCCGATGGGGAAAAACTGTATACTTATGCCAAGTAATCGAAGAACACCTTTTATCAAAACATCTCACGCTCTATTAGCAACTCAGCATTCTTGCAATAACGACTCCTCCGTCGAAAACGACCCGAACACTCGGGGACTAACATCTACAATTCAACACCTGAATGACCTTCGGGTTGAGACTCCAAACTCATAAGCCCTTAACAAGGCAACATGAAAATCACGAAACATCTCCAAGGCCGAAGTGTCCCGAACACTCGGGAACTGGCATCGAAATCTCAAAAATCGCATGACCTCACGGTCAGAATCTCCGAAATCGTAATCCCTCAATGAGGCAATACAGAGTTCGTGAGTAACGGCTCCCAAGCCAGAACACCCTCGATGATTCGGGGAATGTCGCCAATCACCATTCATTAAAAAACCCGAGGCTATAAGACCCCTATCGGGCAGACTCGGTCTCGTAAGACCTACATAAGGCAGCAACAGTATCTATAAGACCTCAAGCAAGGCATGAACCGTACTTGTACCAAGTATCTAAAAACTGTAAAACCTCAAAGGCATGAAAAATTTGTAAGACCTTACTAAAGGCATAAACCCGTTCCCAAAGTTAAGGCTATATATCGAACTTGTAAGACCCCTAAAAGGCATACCCCTCGATATAGACGCCTAAACTACTTCATTTGGGATTAAAAATGGCTCCGGACAAGCACAAATGACTACGGTCATAAGGCTGTACTAGCTAAACTAAAGCGACTCGGGGATGCCTGACCGTCGCTACAAAATCACAGGCCTTCAAATACTTCGAATCAACTTTGAAAATAATTGGTTAAATAGGCTACCCTCGTCATAGGCAAAAGAGCTTCGACCACGTCAGCTCCAAATCACGGGCTTCGAGATACTCAACCTCCGAGCCAAACCTCCCGAGGTGCTCGATCATCACCACAAAGCGACTCGTAATCGAGGTTCTTCCCGAACTGTAGAAGAGTCAAGCAAAAATTATATCAAAAAGTCCTTAACGAGGGAAAAATAAAGCCAATAAAAGGTCGCTTCGACCCAAAACGTAAGAATCATTGTCACCAGCCCACATAAAAGGCCGCATCGGCCCAAGGCGTAAGAGCCATTGTTGCCAGCCCATACAAATTCGAAAACTTGAGGGTCGAATAAGCTCGAGTCGAAACCCGATTCAGAGGCTGAACCCAAAACATTTAACTAAAAATGCCCCAGGACAAAAGCATAAGAGATCAAACACCAGCTTACACCAAAAGGTCGCTTTGACCCAAAGCTTAAGAGCCATTGTAGCCAGCTTACACTAAAAGACCACATTAGCCTAAGGCGTAAGAGCCAGTGTCGCCAGCTTACACTAAAAAGATTTCTTCGACCCAAGGAATAAGAGCCATTGTCGCCAGCTTACACTAAAAGGTCACTTCGACCCATGGAATAAGAGCCATTGTCGTCATCTTACACTTAAAGGTCGCTACAACCCAAGGCATAAGAGTCATTGTCGCCAGCCCACACAAATGCAAAGCTTGAGGGTCGAATGAGCTCGAGTAAAAACCCGACTCAGAGACTGAACCCAAAATAGTAAACGAAAAAGGTCACATCGACCAAGCGCGCAAAAACCTACGGGCCAGCCTAACGAGCCTTAGGGACATATCACGAATCTAAGGATTCCTGCCAAATAAAATTCCAGTTCACCTGGCCAAATTCGATATAGAAGAAATAAGGCCACAAGGTTTTCTTTTATACACATATACAAAAAAATGCGATCTCCATCTACAAACATGCTTTGAAAATGCTATATACAGATGGCAAAATCTACGCCTCCCCCCACAGGGCTATGGCCTGCCGGCCTCATCTTCTCTTTCTTCAATATCGGACAGAAGTCTCTGAGCATCACACTCATCCGCCCTCGCTCGCGCCAACTCTTCCGAAAGGACAAAACCCCTAGCACGGATCTCCTCGAGAGTCTTTCTTCGAGACTTGCATCAAGCATATTATTTGGTCCTCTCTTCACGGTCGAGGACCATTCTCAGCTCAGCTTGGGCATCGTGAGCGTCCTTTAAATAGATCGCCACATCCTGGCCAGCCTTGGTTCGGTTCATTACGGCTTCAGCCCGGGCATCAACGATCTCAGCCCTGACCTTCGAGAGCTCGGACTCGAGCTTTGTAATCATTTCCATTTGAACCAAAGCATTATCACGAGCTAATCAGAGTTGAGCCTCAAAGGCAGGAACTTTGGCCAGAGCGCCCTTCCCCTCTAAAGCCTAGACTTCCGCTTGATCTCTTAGCTCATCATGCTCGCGTTTGGCTCGGCCAGCTTCATTCTGAAGGCGCTCTAGGGCCTATGTCTTTTTCTACAACTGAGACAAACGAGACATCAGCCTTAGAAATGAGAAGACGGAACACACACTCACCCGAGACAGAAAATTACCTGCTCCTTTAAGTAGCTCTCATAATTCAAGCTCCGACTCACTTCCTTTTCATCCCAAAGGAGCTTAAGGGATCTCTCCTCATCCAGATCTTTCCGCAGCCTGGCCTCAATACGAATCAGCCCGGACTTAAGCTCGACGAAGGCCTTTAAAAGAAAAACCAATAAAGAAGGGAAAATGCGAAACTCAAAAGGCCTATGCCAAAACTTACCACGAAGTGAAGCCGCCGGGCTTCCTCGAAAGCCGAGCGCACATTTGTTAACCTAGTTCCCTCAGCCCTGAAAGAATTGACTCTAGTCAAGACACGATCGCTCGAAGTATACGACCCCGGGCTTCTAGTATCCCTCGAAGTGCTGTCAACGAAAAACGTAGGCGATGGCAACGGAGAAACCACCTTCCCAGAGCCAGGAACCACGGGCGCGGCAGGCTCAAATGATGCTTCCGCTCCGAAGCCCCGATCCAGTTTTGCCTTGCTTTGAGCGCCATCGCCCTGTGAAGGTATCTCCCGCTTATTATTATCTTTCTTTAGCCCGAAAGCTAGCAACCCTTCCCCCCTCTCCAAAAGAGCGTTGCCTAGCCTCAGAAGGCCCTCTGATGCCTACAATAGCAAGATTAATACACAAAAAGGGAAAATGCCTCTCCATGTGAAGGAAGGGAAAGGAAAAAATAGCATAACATGCACCATGATGTTTGTCTTCCCATTGGCCCCGGGAAAAAGCTCGCCACCAGCGCTCATAACGAGTCGAGTGAGTCACCAACTTTTGAACCCAATCCGACAAATCAGGAATGTCGCCCGACACCCACGAAACCCCTACAGAAAAAGAAAAGGAGGCATAATCACAAAACTAGCCTTCGCCATAAACAAAACTAAGAAGGCACGGAGTGCACCACTTACGTGTATAGTTCCATTCCTCAGGGAATGGCATAAGCTCCATAGGGATAATGTCAGCGGTCCAAACTCGGACGAATCGACCCATCCGCTCCCGATCTTCGTCTTCCTGATCATCGATGACGAAGGGCGTGGTCGATCATCATTCCAAGGTTAGCAGACCCCGATAGTGAAAGGGCTGGTACAACTTGATAAGGTGACTTAGCGTAAATTCAAGCCCTATTCTCTTTGCAAAAAATCTCATCCTCAACGCTATTCGCCAAAATGACGGATGGATCTGCGCCAAGGTAACCCGATACGTTAAACAGAAGTCGAGCACAACCCTATCAAGGGGGCCCATTATTAAAGGATACATGTACACATTCAGGAACCCATTAGCGC